TCTGCAGTGTTCCAAAAGCTATGGTATTAATTCAAGAGAGAAATCCAGTAACAAAATGGAAATTTTATGTTTGGCTTAATTGGGACAAACACATTTCCTGTGTTTCTGGGCAGATTTAACTGTCCTTGTCCTTGTGTGGGTACTCTGAACACATATAATAACTCTTGAACACACAGTAATTGGCAGTTGGGACTAAAATAGCATCTGAAAATTTAAAGTGTAGAGCTTTGCAAAAAACAACAACAAAATTAAAACCCCAAAAAACCATAAACACATGAAGATCATGGGTCTGGCTTCCCAGTTCTGTTGCTTATAACAGGGCAATGGTCATGTGATTATTTGACCAAATGTGAAATTTGAGAGGAACATACAGGGCAGGAACAGGTATGTGCTTTTCAGAAAGCCTCCACCGTCATCTCTGAAGAATGAGAAAACACTACATGGCATTAGCTGAGTGATTTTTAAAGGAAAATACATTCCTAAGGTAACAGGTAAATCCTTCTGTTGTTACAAAATTGTAGTCACTTTGAAAGTAGTAGTCAAGTGTCTAGGTCTTGGATACTCTTGGTTAATACTAAACCTAGCTTAAGTAGACTCTACAGTTGTATAAATTTGTAAAAGTATTATATGAGCAACTAGTGAGGTTTCAAACTCTTGTAATTGTAGTTAAATAGTCATTGTATTTTCTTGTGAGCTGTGTTTAATGGTTTTACCTCAAATCAGAAAACAAAATGAAGTGCTTGGGTCAGTTAATAAAAAGGGTTTACCCAGTATAGTGTGGCTAGCTTGCTTTTAATATTTTTAACCCTAAGAGCTGGGAGATGAGGGTAGTGCTATGGAATGCTGTCTTCTGGACATGATGTAGCTATTGCACTCATGACTTCACAGAAGCTGTGGTCACATGTTTACCAGCCAAAATTCAAGCACCAAGTGAAGAGGAGATTTTGGTACTTGAAGGCAACTAAGGTGGGCATTATCAATTTTCTTTGAAGGTGTGGTCACTAGTAGATTATTCATGCTCCTACCCACACACATATAGGCAGAACTAATTAGATGTAGTGGGATATTAGTTTAAAGACTAGGGAACATGTCCCAGAGGGTCCAGGAGAGTTGAAGTTTAGATATGGTCATAATACATTGTATACATGTTTAAAATTCTTAAAAAGTTAAGTTTAAAAATGTAGTAAGTCAGATTTAGTCATCTGACTAGTTTAAAATTTAGTTTAATTTTTGGGTGTTACACTTGTGCGTGTACCAAGAGGACCAACAATGTAATCCTAGCACTGGGAAACTGAGGTAGGAAGATAAGTTTAAAGGCCTGCCTAAACTACATAGGAAGGAAATAGAGAAGAAAGGGAACAAGTTGAGAAATAATGAGCTTGAACTATACTGTGACTTGTCAAATTCTGCCTCTGAATCAAGTTTCTAAACTGAAATCTGTAACAGTGTTATTAAGAAATGTTACTACTGAAGGGGGGGGGAGGTTTCCAAGTGTTAAGGAAGTTTAGGGGGTTTATGGCAGGAGGAGTGTTTGCCCTTTATTGTCCTAAATGTTGTTGTTCTTTGAGAATTTCATACATTCAATGTGCTTTGATCATATTCACACATACCCCACTTTACTCCTAACTCATTTAGACTCACTTCTATCCCCTCCCAACAATATGCCTTCTTTTCCACAAACAAGTTCAATTGATGTTGCCTCATAGGCAAGGGGCCATCGACTAGAATGTGATCAACTTACCAGGCAGGGGACTTTGGTTGTTATTTTTTTTTTTTTTTTTTTTTGTTCAGAGCAAGCATCCATACAGTCCTTAATGTTTCAGAAAGAGCTTGTGAAACCCAACAAGGAACATTATATCTCTAACGTGCCTAGAGTTAAAAGTGCAGTCTATCTTCATTATATAATACTTTGAAGCAGTTTGCTACTTTATGTATAAATACAGTTAACTCTTGAATGATCAAAGACAAATTCTGAACCTAAGCTCTTTGGACTACACTCCACTCCCCATCCCATATCCATTTGTTTTTGGACATCTATCAATTTTTAAGTTTCACACACAACTGAGTGAATGAGATGAAATGAAATTCCAGTTAATTTTGCTACCATTAACAGCACTGGTAAAACATACTATGCTAAACATGGTGGCATACACCTGTAATTCCAGCACTTGGGAGGCTGAGGCAAGAGGATGGGGAATTCAAAGCCAGCCTGAGTTTCTAGTGAGACCCTGTAGTGAAAAGATGTACTGTGTGTTTATCCTTAAACATGACATCTATATTAGCCCCACCCACCATCACCACTAAGGTTCTGGGGTCATCTCTTAAGAGGAGACACAAAGAGCATGCCAGCCAGAGGATGGGGAAGAAAGCTGTGAAGTGCTATCTTGTGGACATGGCTGTCACTAGCATGCACTCAAGCAGCTGTGGTTACCTGCCTAAGGTCAAGCTAGTCAAAATCCCAGTATAGATGGTAATTGTGATCTCCAGGCTGCACCCTATACTGAAGTGCTATTAGCAATGGACATTTGCTTGGGGACGGGGATCGATCATTCTTTGATGATATGACCACTGTTAAGTTTCCCATGGTTCAATGGATGGCCCATGCACATGTGCACAACACTAACTAGACATAGTGTGTTATCAGAAAATAAAATTAAGTTTTAAGGGAGTTTATTAGGAAAATGAGGGGAATTGGAGAAGTGGGGGGGGGGACAGATTAGAACATATTTCATTGTATACCTGTATGATATACTCAAAAATAATTTTAGATGTACTTAGAGAAGGATAATTTCGAGTCTAAATACTATTTCAGTTTATCCAAAATGAAAACCGAACTGGCTTTTAGTTCTATCAACTCTGACATAGCCAGTTCCTATCGTAACGGAGAAGTAGAAGTAAAATATTGAAATGGGTTAGAAATGTTATGGGTGTGCATCAATGTAGTCAGTACAATGATCCATAGTCACTATTGTCACTATTGACCATTTTATTTTTAAAGATATGAAAATTAAAATATCATTTCTCTAACAATGCAAATAAGCAAAAAGAGCAACGCTGGTGCAACATATCATACTACAGATAGAAAGTTCCCACAAAGTGGAATCAATCACCATTTATTTTAAAATCAACACATTCAAACAGTTTTGCAACAAAAACACATTGATTTGGTTGTGTTTTCAAATTACCTAGGTTACATGGCTTTCTACCTGAGAAATTCAAACAAATGAACAAAGCACATTTATAGACATCTCCTTACAGGATTAGCAGCACATACAAGGAAAAAGCATATGGAACCCCTATTTAAATAAAAACAACACAGGCCCTTGTTTGATAAAACAAAAAGAAGATACTAGAAAATACTTTTCGCTTAAGTAACAACAATATCAAGAAGTAGTCGTAACAGTTTGGTCCATTACATTCTTTACTAAGCCGCCAAATGACAAGCACAAAGTAAGCTAATACGATTCTCCCATAAGGCCTACACCAAAAAAAGGGGATGACACAAATCTACAATGCATACCACAGACAGATACAAAACTCCAGTGTTCAGCAAAAGCAGGATTATTACTTGTAGGCCCCAGGAGAGCATTCAGCAAACAATGAAACAGGACAAAAGTGCTGCATCAAAGTGACTTAGCACCACATCTAATAAAGAAAACACTTTGCACATGCTGCTGAACTCTGCCGTTTGATTTTTCTTACTGAGCAAAAATGCCTAAAATCCCTCAGGAAAAATTATCAAGTGAGGGAAGAAATTGAGTGGGGTTTGCTTGTTTGAAAACAATCAGCTGCTTTCTATTACAAACCCATATAATTTTTTTTTGTTTGTTTCAATGGAATAAAATGTAGGGTGGGGCAGATTTTTATTGGAGGAGAATAATATGTTGCCAGAAAACTGTCTGACAAAGTATGAGCTGTTAGTAATTTCGAAGGCTACTTTGGGCAACAGTACTTTGAACATGAATAGTCATTGCTAGTCCTCAAAAACGAAACAAAAAAAGGCACACTCAACCCGTGAGCAATCTTTTGGATTGAATAAGTCAAACCTAGCTTTAACAGTGAAAACAACCACTGGCTTGAAAGTGGGATTGAACTTGAGAGGCAGCATACTATTCACTTGTTTTTATATTAGTAACACATGTGGATCTGTTACATTCCTTTCTGAACTTTTATATGGTTGAACACACTTCTCTCCAAATAGGAATATTGCAGACCAATAAAACAACCGGTGGCTTTTACATCAGGTAAATCATAAGATTTTGTAAGCACTTCAGACACCAGGTTGCTCAAGAGGCAGTTTATGGGCACACAATGTGAGACGGGATAGTAAGTAACCCCACTGACTGGCATCCTAGCCGCCCCCACTAGCAGATGGTTTCCTGCAGAATGTCCAGTTAAGACTGAAATGAAATTGCTGCCCTTCGCTGATGCTGTGGATTCCAAACAACTATTCCTGTTGCAGGCAGTCTCAAATTTCACGCATCACCAATTGCCAGGTCAGGTATAGCTTGGTTGGAAAAAAGGAAGGTCAACTAACTGCCCTGAGGTCCTGAATCCAATGTAAGGCAGAAAGAGTCGGCCACACTTTCTACAGAACATGCACTGCGCTAAGGGTAAGTCTTCAAGAATCTACAAATATCTCAATTTAAAAACATTTAAGAAGTCCAAAACAAGTTGGCAAAAAGATAAATTGTGTATTTAACATCGTTTACAAATTCTTCACACATACAATTTTTCCACAGCTAGAAAACTATGGACGTTTCTTTTACTTCTTCCTAACTCCATGGCATTGTTAAGGGCAGAGGAGGCACTTGCTACTGTTTTATAAAAGTCAGTTTGGGGGATATTCAGTGACTTTTTACAAACTGATGTCACCCAACCCTGAGTGAAAGGATTACATAGCCTGAAATAGAATACTGTCACAACTTTTCTTCCCAAGTGCCATTATTGGTACGCCAGGATTTTTTGGTATTTCCTTGTAAATCCCCCTGTTTAATTCAATCCTGGAGCTTTTTTGTATGGAAAGTGATGGGGTTCATAAAACAAGCAAGAAGAATTCTAATGGTCCCATCTATTTAACTATCAAAGGGCAATAGGCCCCTTTTAGATTCTTCTTTTGAGTACTATGAATATATTCATTTCCTTCTGGTGGGTATTCATGAAATTCTAAAGCCATGAAACCTAGTATAGGTTCTAGCCTCTGGATCTCTCCTTTATCTAGAATTACTATGAAGTAAAATTCAGGAAAGTTTGTTACCATATATAGTGTTTCTGACCAAATCTAAGAACACATCAAAAGATGCCTTTTTGTCCACTATTGTCCTCTTTGAAGATAGATGATGCAAGATGTTATGACAGCAAAAGTGCCATAGAAGGATAAGTCAACCTTCTTAATGCTTGCTAGTCTGCACCTTTACTGGCACCAAATTAAAGCTTAAAATAAAATCTGTCCTTGAACCATGAAGTTTTGCAATTACATTGTGTCACCAAGCTTCAGAAGCTATAGGTTTTCTATTTCCTTGCTGGTATGTATACCTGCAGTCATTTTGATTTACACTTGAAACTTTGGCAAGAGGAACAAGCTTTTGCACTTGACCCTCTTCTAGTTCTTGCTCTGTGGTTGCTAACAACATAGCTATATTTGGTTTGAAGTTTTTCTTTTCGTCAGTTGTTTCCTGTAAATAAAGGTGTTCCTGATCAAAGTGACCATCAGAACATTTTAAAATACAAAGAACCAGAGTAGCTGTCTCCTAAGTAGCTTCCATACTCAATGTGCGCCTGGCTGTCATCATGACTAACATAATAATTACCAGAATCAAGCATGTAATCTTCAGAACTTTCATATCTTTTAAACCTTCTTACATCCTGGTTATATTCTGACTTCCAAGGATTCTGCCTTTTTCTGGAGAAATATCCCAAATAGAAAGCTCTAGCACGTTTCGGTGGCATTAACGGCATATGAAAGGGTCTATATTTCAGATTCTGGCCAAACATAGTGCCAGTAACTCTCCTCCTCTTTCTTGTGATGTTCTCTAATTCATCACTGGAACTGGATTCGTGGTAGTAGCCTTCATCAAGCATGTATTTGGGGGCTATTTTTTCTCTACTTTTGCTTATGTTCCTGTCAACTTGAATGGAAGCACATTCATCCTTAAGCCACGAATATCTCAGTTCATACTTGGACCTTTTACCTGGTGCCCTAACCTTGTGTTTAGAGTATTTTTCCTCAGTGTCATGTTTCCACTCTGAATACAAGGTCTGCTGACTTGACCTAGTTTTCTGTTTGCAAGTAACAATTTTGTCAGTACCAAGAGGTCTTTTTTCAGGGGAGCTATTATAGACAGCCACAGACCTTTCTTCCTCCTCTTCATTTATGCTAAGAGTTTCACTGAAGCATTCAGAATCACTACTAATTTCCTCCAAGAAGTCCGCCAATGGCAAACCTGTATCTACTGACCTTAACGATGAAGAAACTGGACTTTTTCTTATGTGTTGAGAATCTCGGTGGCTGTGAATCTTTTCCACTGGATAGTTTTCTCCATCAGTTGGGGACAGGTGATCTTCAGTTTCACTTGCTATGTCCTTGTAATGGTTTTTAAGTTTCTTGGTAAATTCTTTGGCATAACTGAACTTCTCTGTCTTTTCTGACTTGCTCTCAGGAGCCTTTATATACATGTTTGGCCAATCCTGCTCTTGATACTGTTCTTTCCCTTCCAGGATCTCCACTTCACTCAGACTGGTTGAGTGGCTCCTGTGCTTCCTCAAATTGACCTGAAACCCATCCCCTGTAGCGTAGACATCTCTTTGCCACTGACATGTGCTTGTTAGGTGATTCGTTTCGAGGCAGAATCGGGCATATTCTGGAGTCTGATAATAGTTTAATAGATAGTCAATAAATTCATCTGTTTCATAGATCTTCTGTTTCCTGCCATGGTTTATCACAACTTTTCTAGAAGAATGTGATGCATTAGAACTTCCAAGATCTTCTTTTTCAAGGGACTGGTCTGGATTCATTGTACTCTGCAAGGAATTCTGGTCAGATACCACACTGTAGTCACACCTATCAGTTAACCCTTTTCTAGTTTCCTCTTTTCTAGTTGAATATCTTACTTGTTTCATACCAGGTCTATGTGAAGATTTCTGTAATGGGGCTTTCATTCTTTTCTTCGCTTTTTGTTTTTGTTTACTGTCAGACTTGGGAGCCTGGTTACTTGGTGTTTCTTCCTGATCTAGAAGTTGTGGTGTGTTTAATTCTTCTTTGTCTGGAGGTTTCGATGCAGCTTCTGGGGTGTGATGAGCTTCAGGCTTCATAGCATCAACCTCCTGTGGGTTACACTGTGTGGATCCCTTAAAGAAAAAGAATTTAATGATCACTCATGAAAACCCAAATAGAGCCAGCAAGATGGCTCAGCAGGTAAAGATGCCTGCTTCTAAGCTTGATGACGTGCGTTCTAACACAGGGACCACATGTGAGAAGGGAGAGAAATGACTTCAGTTCTCTGAAGTTGTCCTCTGACCTCCACACACACTCTGCCCCTCCCTGCTCACACATAAAAGAAATAAAGGTAAACCAAAATTCAAAACAAAACACAAAGATTGAAATTTTCCAAAAACTGAGCGGGTGTTGCTTTGAAGAATCCCAGGCTAGTTCCAAATTAGGAACAATACTGTACTGAGGAAACAGTACTAAATTAAATGTCCTGATCTAATAATGAGCTATTTTTACTGAATCTGTGACCATTCACATGGAATGGCATTTAAAGCACCTCGCTCTTTATTTGCTCAAAAATTGACAAGCCTTCTGTTTTACAATAGGCGCTAGGGAATAAAGAATGCTCTGTAGCCCTCACAGGAATCTAGTACAAAAAAAAATACACATGGGTGAAACGGGTCCAACAAGGGCAACTGAATAATAAACTGTCCCTCCATTTCATATTCCAATCTTTTTTCTGTGGATTGCAAGTTGAGGATGCCTGTGAGTTGAGCCACCTGCCTCGTTAAGATGGAAGATGTGGGGGGACCAGAGACACAGTTTCGTGGTGTAACACTTGCACCTTACCAAGTCAGAAAAGAAAAGCAAAACACCAAGTAGAAAATTTAGCTGTGCCCACAGATTTGCCTGTTGCCTGTGGTCAATCTGATGCAATCTGTTCTGCACAGCTGAGGAGGAAAGGAACAATGATGCCTGCATCCCCATCCCCAGGAAGGTTTGCAGCACATTGCCCTTGATGTCTGTCACTCATCAGAGCATAGCACCCCCCCCCAATAACTTGTAATCAGTGTCAATATTAATGGATTCCAGAATTAGGTTCCATACTACTTTAAAGAGGTGGATTTTACAAAGAGTCCCACTTGGACATCACTAAAGTAAACTAAAATCTAATCCAGCTGGGCTTGCTATCAATAATCCAAGTGTGAAATTATTTTTTTTTTCTGATCCTGCTTTCACCAAGTTTAGCTATCTACAGTAACAAGCAAGAGATCAACATGGCAAATAGACACAAAATTCACTTGATAGACTAGCAACAGCTGTCATTTTTTCCTATTTAAAAACACTGCATATGGACTTCTAAATGAATACTTCCAAAACGTCTCTGGCTTTTACTCCAAGCTATCTGTGATTCTGGCAATCTCTAGGAGCCCATAAAGGGAGAGAAATATCTTATAGAAATGGAAATCTGTGAAGAAGATAATCAGTCTGTGAGTTTAAAAACTCCTTACCAGATAGTTCAGGACAAGGCTAATATGAGCCTGACAAGGCTCAAGATTCTTCTCCCTTTTCATCCAAACCTGTTACAGATGGATGGATGAATAAAGTTAATAGAAGGCTACAGATCTAGTGCCCATACAACACCCACCCTTTGATCCCTCTGGCACTTTCCCATCATATTCATTAGGAACTCAGAAAAGAGAACAGAGTAGCTAAAGTGTTCTGAATACTATCCTAAAGTTTAGAAACACAGAGGGAGGGCGGAGTTGACACAGGACTGTTTTTAGAAATCCACGTTGGGCCTATGTGAGAGCAAGTGATTTAAAGGAAACCCCGATGAATGCCTCAAGTCTGCCACACAGTTCATTGTTAGTGGGACAGTACCTGAAGCCAAAGGACGGGGCTCAAAAAGACTAGTAACTACCAAAACTGAAGAGAATAACTGGGAAACAGCCTTACTGCAATTTTCTTCAGGAGTACCCGGAGCAAACGAAGGGCCTCAACCCGCCTCTGAGCCAGCAAGTACTTCCTCTCTTCCCACTCCTCTGTAGAGTCCAGCTCCTGAGTAGCCTCAGCCTTGGCTTTCACCTTCTCCTTTCTTTGCCGGTGTCTGTCTCTTTCCTTCAGAGCTCGCCTCCTGTCCCTAGCCTTCTTTCTCTTCTCTTGGGCTTTTCTTACTTCGTCTTTTCTTTTTCTAGGCAACAATTAACATTCATCATTCATTCAAGCAATAATTATTAGCCATTGGCTTCCTCTCTTATCCGCCCACCTTTCCCATAACCTATGATTTCTAACCTTGGGACCTAGAATTGACAATTCATGGTAAAATAATAACCAGAGGCTGGGGAGATGGCTCAATCAGTAATGTGAGTGCCTTGTACATATAAGAACCTGAGTTAGCATGGTGTACACATCTTTAAGTCCAGTGAAGGGGAAATAGAGACAAGTACATCCCTGGGATGCACTGACCAGATAGACTAATATATTTGGCAAGTTACAGGCCAGTGAAAGATCCTTTCTCAAAAGCAAAACAAAATGAAACAAAAAACCAGATGGACAGAAAAATCACACACACACACACACACACACACACACACACACACACACACACACACACCTGCTTCTGTACAAGCACATACATACAAAGAAATAAAACATATGCTACCTAAAATCCACAAAATCTCAGTCAAGGGGGAACACAATTTTCTTGGTAAAATACAAATGTATAAAGGATAGCAATTGGCTGGGAGGGAGGGAAGCTTTGGCACATTTATGTGATGCCATGAAGGAGAATAGTCAAGAAAATGAACACCAGATTCTATTACGAAGGCAGAATGAAAGGGAATATGGTCTGAAATCACAAAAGCTCAGAAAACCAGTGTATGAAAGCAGTCCACCCAGCTACCTGGCAGGAGAGGGGAACCTGGAGTCTGAGACATAGTAAGCCCTGATAAAACGGGGATGATAGTCACAGGCACAAGACAAAGCAGATCTGCCATGTTCCATACTTTGGAAGGCTATAGTCAGGTGTCATCCTGAGTGGAGACCTGCCATTTGAGACTGACATGCCATGCTGAGAAGTATAGGCAGGACAAGACTCAGACTGGGGAAAAACATAGTGGTGGGTGGGCTCCACCCTTTATGGCAATGCAAAAAGGAGAAACGCCTAACGTGAATGTAGATCCAATGAACAACTGGCCTTGACAGGTGTGGGCTCAGCTCCTGCTTGTACAGTATGAAGATAGGAGATTTCAATTCTGATATAAGTGGATACAGAAAGAAGCCACTCCAAAGTTTACCACTATTTACTCATTTATTTAATGTGTATGATGTTTTGTCTTCAGGCATGCCTGTGCACCATGGATGCCTGGTGCCCTTGAAGGCCAGAAGAGGGTGTTATATTCCGTGGGACTGGAGTTACAGACAGTTATGAGCTGCCACATGGGTCCTGGAAATTCAAACCAGAATATATGGAAGACCAGCCAGTGCTCTAAATCTCTGAGGCATCTCTCCAGTCTCCTAATTATAAAACTTAACTTTTTGCCCCTTTTACTTTGATATATATATATGAGTTAATATATAGACTATATAAATAATTTTTTAAATTAATCATCAAAAATCAAATTATCTAAGTAATAAATGAGTAAATGAATTAACAAACAAGTCCAATGGAAAAAAAGGGATATGACAACATCTTCTAGCCATCATCATGCAAATCAAAACCACACTAAGAGTGAGATAAACAGTTCACTCAGCAGTTAAGAGTACTCATATGTCAGCTCACAAGGATATGTAACTCCAGCTCAAGAGGACCTGACATCGTTTTTGGTCTCCAGGGGTACTAGGCGTACACATAGTACATATATACACATGTAGTCAAACACATACATTAAAAAAATTAAAATGCATCTTAAAACTACGCTAAGATTCATTCTCACCTCTTCAAAATGGCTATTATAAAGAAATAACAAATGCTAAAGATACAGTGACTAAAAGAACCCTATAATAAATTCAGATAGACCCCCATGAAAATATGGGAAAAAATAAAAGGTAATTACCTGGTTCAGTACTTAGCTAAAGGACAAAGGATTATTTATCTAAATAGGATTTGTGGTCTGTAATTTGAATAAGAATAGTTATTTTGAAGCAGCTAAAGTTCTGAACTAATTTTCTGGATGACAGCTGACCTAAACAAGAAGGCACTAATGGGCCCCCAGACTGATAGCTGCGAATCCAGCATGGGACCGACTCAGACCCCCTGAACATGGGTCTCAGTTAGAAGGCCTGGGCAGTCTAAGGGACCTCTGACAGTGGAACCAGGATGTATCCCTGGTGCACAAAAGGACTTTGGGAGCACATTCCCCATGGAGGGACACTCCCTTAACCTAGAGACAGGAGAGAAGCCCTAGTCCCTACTCCAAATGACTTGACAGATTTAGATAACCCCTCCTGGAAGCCATCACACTACATGTGGAGTGGGGGAGTGTGAGGGGAGGGTGGGAGGGATAGGAGGGTGGGAGAGAGAAAGGGAGGGGGAGAGGGAGGAAGGGAGAGGGAACTGGGATTGATTTCTAAAATAAGAAAAAAAGAAAGAAAATGCCACAGAAATGCAAAATAATGTTTCATTGACTACAGAAGTTATAAAAAAAATAAAGTGAATCTATTTCAATTAAAAAAAAAAGAAAAAGAAAAATGGTCCCAACAAATCCATGATTAGGATTACTTTATTTCTTGATCATTTTTTCAAAAAGAAAGCTTTTCTAGAACTACGTGGTTTTTAAATTTTAAATTGGTAGGTTAGATAATATTTGTAAAGTAATAAAATTTGACTCAATAGGTCAGGATTATCACTCCAAGCTTTTGGATTCTGACTACAGCCCACAAGCCCACAGGTGGGACGCAAGCCTAGCAAGTACAAGGCCCTGTGTTCAACCCCCAGCAGTGTAAAAACAAAAGCTCCTTATTCTCTCTTAAAATCGCTTTCCCCCAGATTTCTTAACCTGTCTAGTCTCATTATCCCTTATTACTTAGTCTCACTTCCTGGCATACATTTCCAGTCTCTTGTTTTTTGCCTGTTTTATCATCTGCACTTTCAAAGCCTGTCTTTGATGGAGTTTTCCATCTGCACTAAAGCCCATTCTCGCCTCCATGCTATCTTTCAATTCTAACCATTCACCCAAATGTATTAATCCAAAATTCAAAAGGAAAACCCTCACCAGTGTTAAAATTCAGTCTACATACCTTTCAGCTACTTCCTCTTCTCTCTTCTTTTCCTTTTTCCTCTCTTCCTCCAGCTCTTGTAATTTTAACCTTTCCTGATTCCTCCTCTGGATAGCTCCTTCACTGAAATGCTGGGTTGTATCAAACATAACCTGCTCCCAAAACAGACGAAAAGATTTCTTAGAAAGACTTGTCAGTGGGCTGGATGGGTCCCAGATGAGAGAAAGCTAAGATGGCACACAGCAATCCAAAGCCAAAGAATTCAATATGCCCTTTGAATCCTAGCCATGCAGCACTACTGCTTATGGGCCAAGAGCAGAACAGTACTTGGAGGCAGTAGAATGTTCTTTGGCAAACCTTTGAAATAGTGTATCAAATTACCATAATTTTATACATGTATAGCAATAGTTTTGGCTATTTTTTTAATTTAATTTTTGACAATGTCATATATGTTTCTACTGTACTGTGAACATAGTCCCCTCTTTGCTCTCTTTTATTACCCTCCCACTCCAACAAATCCCAACTCCTTCCCACCGAGTGCCCCTCCTACTTTCATGTCTTAAACTTTTTGTGTAGGAACTTACTTTACATATGACCATGGTTAGCATTACGGGGCAGTCTAGGGATGGGTCAGAAATTTATTTCTAGTAGCCATAATAATCAATTAGACTGATATGCTGTTATTGTTTTTAAAGACAGAAGAGATAAAAAAAAAATAATGAGCATGGCAAGGAATGGGGTAGGCAGAAAAGCGACAAAACAAACCAAATGAGATATCACATTGTCAAACTACATTTCATATCTTGAAATATGAGTAAGTGGGACAAATAGATATGGTTATAGACTAGAACAGAGGCAGATGTGTTAGCTCATCAGTATAGAGGAAGTCTAGTCTGATGCCCACCATGAATAATAAAAAATAAAGAGAAGGCGAACTAGTCACTGAAATGTAGGGGACTAGAGATGGTAGCCCAGTGTTAGAGTACTTGCTTGGAATTAGCAAAATCCTGGGTTGTATTCTCAGTGCTGCAAAATTAAATAAGTAAATATGCATGAAAACAATACATTCACAGCCACAGTTCCTTTTAACACAAGTAACTACACAACAAACACACACACACATGCATGCACTAGAAACTGAAATTCATGCCGAAGACTGGTTTAGAGAAGAATTTAGCTGCAACTTTTCCATTGTTGGGTTAGTACTTCAGGATGATAATCGATGTGCCTCCTAGAGATAACTACTCAGGTCAGCATGTGCTGATGCCTGTGCTGCTGGTGCAATCCGGCTAGTGTACAACCAATCCGGAAATGCAGAGTTCTTGCTTGAGTACCCCAGCTGGTCCAGGGGACTGAGCTTATTGGTTCCATGGGAGGTATGGATCAGGCCACAGCCCTTGTTCCCAGCAGATGGTTTGCAATAAACCTGCTAGAAACCTGCTGAATGCCTAAAGGATGCTGTACTTCTGCCTAGGTCAAGTGATGCAAAGCTTCTGCTGTAGCTCCAAGCAGTTGGGTGTTGTCACAGCTAATTTTTCCAGGATAAATTTCCACTGGCACTTATTATTGTTTCTCTGATGTTGGAAGTGGGAATGCCCATAAGATGGTGGTGAATACAAGGCTGGAACCCATAGCACAAGAATGTGACAAAGTCCATAGAAGCACATATCCTGCATGCCTTCAATGAGGACTTTTATGAGGAAATCCTCAATGTGGCCATTGTCGCCTACCTCCGCCCAGAAAAGAACTTTGATTCTTTAACACCACTTATTTCGGAAACTCATGAGATGAAGAAACAACTAAATGACAAGATTTACCAGAATATTTACAACTCAAAGATGAACATTTCTTCCAGGTTTCTAAAAACAAAATTATGAATGGCCATGGATGAAAAATGACCTTATTTCTTCATCCACTGTTTCCTAGTATTTCGCTGTTCATAAACTATGGAGTCTCATCTTGATTGTATTTTAAAAGGCAAGCATTTTTCTATAGCTGTGAATTAAACAATATGATGTAGTTATTCTACTGTGTTTTGATTGCTAAATCCAATGCATCCTACTACAGTACTAAAATATTCATTTAAAATTAAGATGCTTTTAATGCAGTGTGTTGATTAAAATGGATTACTAGAAATATAGTAAATGCATTATAATGAAAATAAGATGTATACAAAAAGAAAATCAATGATTTGAGACAAGAACCAAAATCATTATGGTGAAATACCAGTGTGTATGTACTTATATAGCATATGCTGCTAAACAGGGGAAGTGTGGAAAGTAAATGTAATTTAACATAAGTTTGATAATTCAGTCTAAGCCTAAGAAGGAAAAGCAAGACAGTAATTTTTGCTATCTTGTGCATTTATATATAATTACAGGCAAGAGAACTTTTATAAATTTTGTTTTACTTATTTCCCTTGTGAGGGCAATTCATTGTACTGTCTCCCTCCGTGTCTGTGTGGTGTGTGTCCTCAATTCCAAGTGTCCTAGATTCCCTCTGCCATCAGGGTTTTTTCTTTGTTTGTTAAAGATGGGTGTTTTTCTGTTCTGCAGATTTTTTTTTTTGTGCTTTATAATACATCATTCTCCTTTTCAAAACAGTAGATATTCTTTTCCTTCAATACTCTTCTCTTGGGTTCTTTCTAGCTTGAAAAGACTGTCAGTTGCCTGCAATTGTACTTTTAAAAGAATTCGTCTATACTGTTCTATTCCATCACAATAGGAATCATGATTAAGTGTATGCCTGCATTGCACTCTTATAAGTCTATAAGATTTAAATGAGGACACAGGCCAGGTGTGGTGACACGTGCCTGAAAACCCAGCACATAGGAGACTGAAGGAGGTGGACTCCAGACTTGAGGCTAGACTTGTTTCGGGCCTGCTCATCTCAAAACAAAATAAATTAATTAAAATTAAGTAAATACGTAAGTGAAAACAGCCATCCATTTATATGAATCAGTTTATTAACACAAATTAGTTATTTATCCCCTAAAAATACTAGTAACAAATTAAACTCTGAAATTATTATAAGGTTGTTTATTTTAGCAGGATTATATGTTCCAGCAACCTTAAGCTATCCTGGATGTCTATGGCCAATATAATTTAACACTAGACTAGAGAGGGTTGGTTTTTTTTGTTTGTTTGTTTTGTTTTGTTTTTTGTTTTTTTGTTTTTTGGTAGCTTAAGATATAAAGTTTTAGTTAAATACCTTGTATTTTTCCTCATACTAACTATAACTTTTAGCCAATTGGCTTCTTTGGTTTGTATAAGTAGAAATCTTGGGATATTTAGGCGCTTTGTCAGACAGCTCTTTATATTCTTGTTCATTTCAGTAACAGATTTTTCTGGTGGAGAGTCAGAATGGGAGGGTAGAGAGTGAAGTATATAGAAGGTAATTTTAAAGACATCACATTATAAATCATTTCTGAGATGCACAGCTAAATTATAATTACTGATGGAAGTAACCACTTATAAAATCTGTAGGAGAACATTAAACTCTGAGAACAGGAATGAAGTCATGGAAAAGTTTAGGTGGATTTATAATATATAAACACAATCAATAAAAACGTTGACTATATATATGTACTTGTTTGGTTTTTATCTATGTATTTTAAAAGCAAAAGAAATGAAAAAGCAATAAACTGCATTATCATAAGTTCATACACCAAAAAGTATGACAATCCACCTGAATTTCTCCATGGAACCTAGGGCTTTGTGGATGCTGGGCAAGCACTGCAGCAGCCACTTACATTTACAGCACCAGCTACTGTTTTCTTGGAGACTTGAGTCTCACAGAGTCCAAGCAGCTTTTGAATTCCTCATCCTCTTGCTTCCATATCATAAGTGCTGAGATAAAAGACACACACTGCCATATCTAGCTGAAAATATAGTGTTTAATGTTATACATCCCATATCTAAAAGAAGGCTCAATTATTAGTGGCTTTGTGTGACGAATTTAGAAGTCAAACCTAGAATGAATAAAGCAGCTTTATGTTTGTTCCTAACTAAGTTCCTATTTAGCGTATGATACTTTTGTTATTTTATGTGTATGGGAATTGTGCTTGCATGTATGTCTATGTACCACCTGTATGCCTGGTAATGACGGAGGCCAGAAGAGAGCTTCACATCCCCTGGAAATGTATTACAGACGCTTGGGAGCCACCAAGTAGATACTGGAAACCAAACTTGGGTCCTGGGTCCTCTGCAAGAGCAGCCAGTGCTCCTGACTGCTGAGAAGTCGTTTTTCCACCTCCAGTGTTTTGTGTTTTTTTTTTTTTTTTTTTTTTTTTTTCTACGTTTTATTAAATATCTATTGCTTTTTAAAAATGGTGTATTACTTGGGTACTTGTCAAGTATAATAAGCATATGAACTAGTTCCATGGGAGGCATGAATAATCCTTTAATGCCCCCCCAAGCTTGGGCAGAGACCCAGATGATAAGAACCACCGCTTTAAAATTCCAGCAGGTGGGTTCCCTGATTTTAGAAGATTGGGTGTTCACATTAAGATTGTTTTTCTTCCTAAGCATACATATATACATGACAGCATGCATCTCTGCAGCACCGACTGATCAGACCCTGGTGTAATCTAAAGGCATTTAATTGAGATGCTTCTTTCCAACTCAGTCTTGGGATCACTTGAACAATGAAAACTGAAGTCTGGATCCTTCTTACCTTAATGTTACATGCCAAAGCCTTGCCATCATCTCCTTTAAGCATAAGCTTCATTCCTCGAAGGGATTCCATGGCCTTTATAAAGTCAGTTGACTCCTGATATTGGATAAAGGCTTCAAATGTTTGCAAGCCAAAGTTAAAACCCCCAAAGCTCCCACCTGTCATCACTTCTCTGTAGGGGTCAAGCATGGGGATATCCACATTCTTGATCTTCCCAAAACTCTCAAAGACTACTCGAAGGATCTCTTCACATGGCTTCTCTCCACTGGAACCTTTAGGAGCAAACCATTTACAGGGCAAGCCTTCAAAATAGATGGAATCTGGGCTCTTACCAAGGTCATGTTCTTCAGCACCAGCAGTCACTAAGGCCTCTTTCTCTTTAGGGAAGTGTTCCCACTCTCCCTGGGCATCTGTAGCCACTACTTTTAAGTCAGTTTTCAAACCATTTAGCTTGATGATCTTCCCATGTAACTTTGCTTTCAGGATCTGAACCAAACTTCGGGTTTCAGCCTCACCCTCAAATCGGATGAAGTCTTTTGTACTCTTGGAGAGTCGCACTGTGGTGAACTGGTCAGGGCAAATGAGACTTTTCAGTTGGTCAAGAACTTCCCAGTTAGAGAACGGCCTCACGGGTTCTATACATTCTGGGAGCAATACGTTGATCATTAATTTTGCTATAGGCTTGAGGTAGAGGTGCTGAGCAGCACAGAGCTCTGTTGCCTCAGAGTTATCATAAACCACTGTGACTGTCATGGTGTCCTCACACCACCTTAGAGGACAAAAGAGAAAAATTTAATACAGATGGAGCAAAACAGAGATTGGAACTGTGAAATGGTGTTAGCATTGCTAGACTTAGATCCAACTGATAGAGGGAAAATATACTATGAGCAGAATTAAAATGGTATCTTATAACTCCTGAATCTAATAAGCAATTATAGTAGGGTTGTAGGATGTAAGGTTAATCAAAGAGATATGCCAGCAACAAACAAGCTGAATTAGAAATTTAAAACACGATGCCAATCCAAGTATGGTTGCTCACAACTGCAATCCCAGCACTCTGGAAACAAAGGCATGGGGAGTAAATCTTGACCTAAATAGTTCCAGATCAGCCTGAACTATAAAATGAGAGACGTTGTCTTAACTACCCCCAACAACAACAACAAAAATGATGCATTTACATTAGTACCAAATCCATGAAATGCTTATAGAAATCTAACAAAATATGTATAAGATCTTACAAAAGAGACTACAAAACTCTGATGAAAAATATCCAAGAACTAAGTATATGCAGTAAATCATTAAGAAGGATCAATATGTCAGTCCTTTCTGAATAGATCTATATATTAAACATAATCTCAATAGAAATCTCAACAAGTTTTTTTCTGGATCAAATATAAATTCTAGGTCAGTGCATGGTGGTACATGCTTTAATCCCAGAACTCTATAGAGGCAGAGGCAGGCAGAATTCTGTGAGTTTAAGTTCAGCCTAGTTCACACAGAGGGTTATAGACCAGCTAGAGGTGTATAATGAGACCACATGTCAAAAATAAAGGTTCTAAAGTTTATATGGAAATATAGACCCAAAATAATAATCAACTCAGTATTGAAGGACGGTGGGGAAATGTTAGTGACACTCTCTGACTTCAAAAGTTATGTAACAGCACAGTCATTAAGATAAGATGGCACGCATCCAAAAAAAGACAGATTTATGAAATGGGATAGAAAACTCAGAACTAGATTCACAGATAGTCTACGGATGTATGAAAAAATCAGCCAAGAGAATCTTTTTAATGAGTAGTTCTGGAACAATAAACATCCAAACACTCTAATTTAAGTATGGGCCAAACTGGGCTGGAGAGATGGTTCAGATGTTAAGAGTATGCATTGCTTCCCAGCACCTAGTTCAGTTGGCTAAAAATTACCTGTGACTCCACCTCCAAGGAATATGACACCCTCTCTGCCGTCCATAGGCAATAGGATTCCTGTATACATATCCCCACATATGTATATACATAAGTAATAACAAAATTTTTAAATGGGCCAGCCAAAGAGATTTGGGGATGTAGCTGATAGAGCATTTTCCTGTCGTATGTATGGTCCTAAAATTGACCTCAACAAAACAAAAAAAAATGGACAAAAGATATTAACAGACATCTCCCCCAAAATTATACTGATAAAAAGAATTTTAAATGGTGACTCTCATAGATTAATTTCAAAGTCTAGGTTACATTCTTCTAAATAACATTAATGAAGATTAATTTAGAAATTCTTTTAGTACAGATCATTTCTGAGGTACTGCAGAATAAACTTAATTCCATGCACATGTTAAACTAGTATTCTACCACGGAACTACACCCCAGCCCTGAATTTGATATTCAGAAATTACTAAAATGACTAGAATCAAGAATACTTTGAAAAAGAAAAAACACTGAGTGACTATAAAGAACAACCTGATTTTCCCAGGAAGATCTGTCGTCAATGAATATTTTAAATGTTTTTATTACTTTATATATATGAGTCTTTTGCCTACATGTATGTCTATTCATCATGTGTGTGCAGTACCCATGAATCCCAGGAGACAGATGGATCTTCCAGGACAGTAGTTCCAAACAGTCATGAAGCATCACATCATGTAGATCCTGAGAATCAAATGTGGGTCCTCTGGGAGAACAGCCAGTTGTCTTAACTGGAGCCATTTCTCCAGCTCTGTCTATCACTTTTTATATGACCGCTGAAAACCTCAGCTAAAGTAATTAAGCAAGAGAAAGATATAAATATCCAGTAGGAAAGGAAGAAGTCAAATAACCATTTGCAGATAACAGTACCTTATATACAGAAAAACATAAAGACAACCAAAATTTGTTAGAATTGATAGGCAAGTTACAGAATACAAAATCAATATACAAAAGTTAGTGTGGGAGCTAGAGAGATAGCTCAGCAATTTGGAGCACTGGCTGCTCTTGTAGAGGACCAGAAGTTTGGGTCTCAGCACCCACATGGCAGCTCACAACCATCTGTAACTTCATTTCCAGAGGTTCTTGTGCTCTTTTCTGGTCTCCACTAACGCCAGGCATGCATGTGGTACACTCACACCCATAAAATAAAAGTAAATCTTTTTTAAACTTTTGAGATAAGGGATCACTATGTAGGCCAGGCTGGCCTGGAACGCATTATGTAGACCAGACTGGCCTTGAAATCCTTATCTCACAGAAATCCACCTGCCCCTTCCTCCTGAGTGCTGGGACTGAAAGACATAGACCAACACAACAATAAACTAACTGAAAAAGGAATCAGGAAGATGATCCCATTTGTAATACCTATAAAGATACCTAGAAATTATTTAACCACAGAGGTTAAAGAACCCTCCAGTAAAATCTATAAAACACTGATAAAAGAAATCAAAACACACACACACACACACACACACACACACACACACACACACACACACAAGCACACACAGAGGGTGTGGAGGGGACAGACAACAGCAGCCTGGAATGACTCCTCATGACCCTAGACTGGAAGAATCCTACTGTGGCATAGGTATATTATTCAATGTAATATATTGATTCAATGCAACATCTATCAACACTAGTGATAGCCTTCAAAGAAACAAGAGAAAACACTCTCACAACTTGTATGGAACTGCAAAAAACTCTGAACTGCCAAAGCAATTGTGAGCAACAGCTAACACAACAAACTTGTTGGCATAAAAATACCTGACTTCAAAACATGACATATGAAAACTGCTGTAGCCAAAACAGCATGGTACCAGAATAAACAACCCAGAAATAACGGAAAATGTTAAAAGGGCACCAAGAACATACACTGGAGAAAGTGTCTTCAATAAATGGTGCTTAGTGAAAATATGTATATATACATATATGTAATATTATATGGTATTATATTAACATTATATTATCATATATGACTGAAACTAGATCACATACAAAAATCAACTCTAAATAGATCAATGACTTGCACGCAAGGCATGAAACTATTGGGAGAAATCATACGGGAAAACACTTCACAGTATTGGTTTAGGTAAAACAGCATGGGGGCTCCTCCAAACACTAGAAATAGATCCAGAACTAGATTATGACCCAGAAGTCTCCTAACTGGGCATATGTCCAAAAGAAATGAAGTCAGTATGTCAAAAAGACACCAATACCCCCATGCTTACTACAGCATTATTCACAATAATCAAGGTATGGAATTAACTTGGGTGCTCATAGATGAGTGGGTAGATTAAAAGATGTAGCATATAAGCACAACAGAATATTATCAAACCCTAAAAAGAATGAAATGCGGTCATTGACACAACCTGGATAGAGCTAGGAAATATTATGCTAAATAAAAGGAGCCCAGACAAATATTGCAGGACCTTACACAAGGAAGCTGAAATATGTGCTTTCATATAAATAGAGAATAGAATGGTGCTTAGCACAGGCTGAGAAGAAAGCAGGAAGAGGGACTGGGAAGATGCTGCTTAGTGTGTATACAGCACACTTGGCTAGGAAAGATAACTGCTACTATTCTGCAGAACTAGATAAGAAAAAAATTAATTGTATATTTCAAAATACCCAGTAGCTCAGGCTTTAAATATTCTCCACCCAAACAAATGATGCATGTCTGAGGAGATGGACATATGAAATACTCTGACTTGATCATTATGCGTTACATACATATATTGCAATGCCACAACTTGGATTCTCAAATTCCAATTTTCCTATGACAGCAATAACAGCAACAGTTGTTCTTATACCTTCTCCAGTCATAGTCATAGATCCTAAAATGAAATGCATATGGATAATCAATCTTAAATTGCTTTCCAGGAATAGAGGCTAATTTTCCATTACTGTCAAGGACCTAGTGCTTACCAAGTAGTCAGACATTTGCATACATCATAGTTTCAGTGCTACAGTGATACCCTGGGCAATTAGTGCAACACCTGGCACATAGCTGCAAACAATCAATTCCCTTGTGGCACCTAGCCCTTAAGGATGCATTAGACATGCTGAGGGTGGAGAAAAGCAGAGGGAGAAAGAAAGAGACACACAAAGAGAAACGGGCAGAGAGACAGAAAGACACAGAGAGAAACACACACACACACACACAGAGAGAGAGAGATCATCAAGCTAGTTGGGTAGGGACATGGGAGTTAGGGGAGATCAAACATAAAATATATTGCAGGACAGGATTTTTAATTTAAAAATAATGAAAAAATAAACAAGGTGAGGAAAGACAACAAGGGGAAGATGGAATTAAAAAAAAAGAAGAAGGAAGGGAGGGAGGGAGGCATAATTGCCAATAAGATGGAGTAATCATGAGAGATTTTAGAGGAAAACTATTGCAGAATAATTCACAATATATTTTCACAAATGCAATATTAAAAACTCATAAAATAATGTGAAAAGGTTCATATGTCTACAACTATACACATACATAAAGTCTGAAAAGATATACTGTCTAGGAAAGGGTTGCAACAAATGAATACAATAACAGTCCCCTTCCACCACCAATGCAGCCCTCTATGCACCATCACTGGCATCTGACTGCATCACTGAACGTTATATGAGTCATGAATGAAGCCTGGGAGATTAGAGTAGGAGTATGAGAAACAAAGGATCACTCAGCAACTGTAGTGTTAGCTGTATCACTGGTTGCAGAGGTGAGTTTTTGAAGACTGCTTTATTGATTTGGGATGGGAATATGCCACAGAAGTAGAAAGCTTGTCTAGCACACAGGCAGCCCTGGGTTCCATCCCCA